CAGAATTATCTTCAGTAACATCTTGGGTTGATTTTTGAGACAGTTCAGTACAGTCCTCAACATCAGCTTGATACCCTTGAGACTTATTTAAGTTCCTGCCACTTCTTAAAATCGTAGCCAACGTCCGCTTGGCATTCTCCTTAAGTTTATTGGGCGACCTATACTTGTAGCGTCTCTGGGGCGATTTTCGTAAATTAAGGGAAATTTTTTTCTTCCAATCTTGAACTTTTTCCCTGCTCTGTAATGGGAACCTGGGACTTTCCCTCCCAACTGATGACAATCTCGATGGTAGAGATAATCGCTTAGGTCCTTTCCGCGTCATGGCAAAACCCACCTTCAGTCGTATGAGATCAACATTAAGATCATTTTGCCGTTTATAAACACTTTTTCTTGAGGATTTTACAACACTATGAGCGCTAGTCGATGGAGCCAAGGTTTCCTCTGTCAAAAACAAGCCTTGATTGTGTTTATCACTTTCCTCACTATTTTCAGAGCAAGTGGGTAATGTTACAGTCTCCATTTCCGATTTGTTACTTTGCTGCATTACTAGCTTAACGTCTGACATTTTAGGAGAAGACACTTGATTCCTCTCCTCTGGTTGAGGCTCAGCGCTTGATGGGCCCTCTTGTATCAGATCCTCTCTCTTTGATTCCAAAGCAACTATAGAGCGATTCTTTTCTTTTGCCTTGACCACTTCTTGAGCAGCGGCACTTCCTTGCTTCTCTTTTGCTGGTGATGAAACTGGGGAGGCCTGCTTCCTTTTGATAGGAGAAGTGGCAGCATCTTTTTTAATGGGTGAAGTTGCTGCGTCTTTCTTGATGCTGCTGCCCAGAGCTACTAGTTCTTGATTTCCTCTTCTTGGACTTACCCTCTTAGCTTCTATCACATGAGGTATAGGACTTATTTCCTGTGGAGTCTCACAAGGAGGTGAAACAACTTCTTGTTTCACCAATTCCTTTACAGGGGAAGATGAACACGAAGAATTTGTAGTTGGGGTGTTTTTTGACGTAGATGATTTGCTGAATGTAGTGGCCATAGAGCTTAATATGCTGGCAGTTCTTCTTCGGAGTCCTGTAGGAGATACAGGCATAACCACCAGATTCTGATTTTTCACAGGTGATTTGGTAAGAATATTATCAGCTGATAATCTTCGAAAAGCAACTACTCCAGTTCTGTTACCAACATTTCTTGTCTTGAAGCCTTTCATTTGGTTCAGAGTTTCTAATGCTTTGAGAGCTTGTTCTGTTTCTTTTTTGGCTATTTCTTGAGCAGCATTCCAATCACATGTCAGAGGGAGACGTTTGCGGCCAGGACTGTTGATGTGGATTCCATTAAAATTGACCGAATTTCCATTAGGAACAACTTTCTTAGTGGCGCCACTAGAGCTTTGTGTCTGGCTGATTATTTCTTGACTGCTGCTTTCAGCACTACTTTGCATAATCTCTGCTAGATCCCGTTTGAGATCTGTTGTAATAGTATTTATTTCATCAGTCTTGCATACTAGTTTGCTTTCATCTGCTTTTGACTTTCCTGTCTCCTTTTCAGAATCTAAAGGAATTTCAGGGTCTGATGACTTTCCAGAATCCAATGTCTTCCCAGCGTCTGATGTCTTCCCAGCATCTGATGGATTCCCAGCGTCTGATGTCTTCCCAGAGTCTGATGTCTTCCCAG